CAATATAAAACATTATCATCGGGTACCTGGGTGGCTCCATTGGTTAAATATTTGATTCTTGATTTCACTTCAGGTCCTGAAACCGAGCCCTGTGTCGGGCTCTGCGCTTAGTGTCGAGTCTGTTTGTCCCTCTTCCTCTGCTCTTCCCCGCTACTCACTCACTCTCTCTCTCAAATTAATAAATAAATAAAATCTTAAAAAAAAAAAAAAGACACTTCATTATCATTACCCAGAGAGTTCCCTTATGCCCCTCCCAGGAAATCCCCCCACTACCCACCAGAAGCAATATTTTCTCTCACCTTTTTCACCCTGAATTAGATTAGATTAGATAGATTTAGGACTAAATACAAATTAATTTACAGTATGTACTCTTCTTTGCAAGATTTCTTTGACTCCACATGTTTTTGAGGGCTCTCTGTGTTGTTGTCTGTATCAGTAGTTCTTTCTGTTTTATTGCTGCTTACTATTCCATTGTATGAACACACAATATTTTACTTATGTGTTTTCGTAATTGATAGACACTTGGGACATAGCTGGCATGTATTAATTTTTATATGAAAATGTTAGAGCTTTTCAAAGTAATTACATTATTTTCTGCTAAAAATGAATGAGTATTTCAGTAGCTGCACATCCTCCCCAATATTCAGTGTTAGCATTCTTATTCAGTTGAGCCATTCTGGTGGGTGTTTAGTGGTACTTGTTGTCTTTGATTTGCCATTACTTGATGAGTAGTGACATTAGTGACTTTTTCATGTGTGTATGGAACAACCATCCATGTTGGTTAGTGAAGTGTTTGTTCAGATGTTTTGTCCATATTTTAATTCCGTTTTTTGTATTTTTATCTTTGAACCAGAGGATTATTTATATACCCTGGCACCAGTCCTTTGTAACATCTGTATTTTGTGGATATTGTCTCCCAGTCTATGGTATATTCATTTTATTGACGGATTTTGAGAAGTAGCTTTTCATCTCGAAGACATCTATGTTTTAAAATATTTACTTATTATTCCTTTTTGTGGCCTAAGAAAGTTTTATCTACTCCCAAGTCACCAAAATATTTTCCTTTAGAAGCTTTATCTTTTAGACACACTCGGGTGGCTTTAGAGGATGCCCGGCTAGTCATCCGACTCTGGGTTTGGGCTCAGGTCCTGATCTCAGGGTCCTGGGATGGAGCCCGGGGATGGATGCCCAGCTCAGCAGGGAGCCTGCTTGAGGATCTCTCCTTCTGCCCCTCCCCACACCTGCATGCGCTCTCTCTCTCTCTAAAATAAATAAACCCTAAAAACTGATTAAAAAAATAAAAGCCTAATGTTTTAGCTTTTACTTTTAATAGAAGTGGATGGTATAGATTGAAGTTCGTTCTGTCCATACAGAGATTCCAGCACTGTTGAAAATACTTTGCTTTTTTCTCATTGGATAAGTTTACTGCCTTTGTCAAAAATCAGATGACTGTACTTGTTAAAGTCTATTTCTAGAGTCTCTATGTTATTCATTGATCTATTCATTATTCTTGTGCCAGGCCAGCAACTGTCTTCCTTATTATAGCTTTTCTTGAAATGCTTAAAATGCTTCAAAGTTGTTTTTTTTTTTTTTGAATGCCTGGAATGTCTATGTATGTATGGATGGATGTATATTATGTTCAGTTAGCCAACATATAGTATAACATTGTTGTTCTTTTTCAAGGCAGTTTTGGCTATTCTGAGATCTTTGCATCTGCTACCTAATCCTAATTATGGACTCAACCACACTAAGATTCAGCTACTTCCTAAGTAAAATACAGATGGAGTATGCATTTCTCAGTATTGGTGGGATGATTATGAAATAATCCATACAAATGAAGAGACTTTCTTTTCCCCCATTGAATAGTCTTCCCTGCTTTGTTGAAAATTAATTGACCATATAGTTGTGGAAATAAGGTTTGTATTATATCTTAATGATTACCACACTAGTTTTATCAAGATTAACAAAGCATATAGTTAAAACCAGTTTAATTCAAAGTCTTAATTGCTTCATAACTTGAAGGATTTAGCAATACTGTAAAATTGCTACAACTTTTCGAATGTTTTTATGTATTCTTTCATCAGTTTTACATACATAGAAATTATATAAGTTATTAAGTATGTGTGTATATACATACACATACACACACACACACACACACACACACACACGTTTGGCCCCCAGTGCACTGGTATCAAGAATTGAGTCTCAGTCTATTCAGTTCTCTTCTTTGTCCCTGGAGTTCCGTCACTGTACCAAGGGGTTTACACTGTTCCAGAGCTTTTGGGATGACATTTGATCATTGAGAGCCTCAGGACCCAACCTGGAATTTGCCAAGAAGTTCTCATTCTTCTCTCCCCTTATTCTTCCTTCACTACAGGTGACCACCACCACCTTTGGTCTCTTGCCCTCAGTCACCCTGAGACATCAGTGCTCTTCTCAGACTTCTAACACCTAAAGAATAAAGGCCCTACATCATAGGACTTGACCTCAGGTAGCAGAACACAGAGAACAATTTGAAACCAATTCTGTTGATTTCCCATCCAAATCAATATCCTCTGAATCAAGAAAACAGTTCTCCAACAGGTCAAAGTACACAACAAGCTCTCACTGACTTTGGTTTCCTTCCGATTTTTTTTTCATGTGCTGAATCATTTTCAACACACTAAATGGCAAGGTTTTTTTCAGCTCAAAATGTCTATTAGATTAGGAAACTTAGAAGAGTTCTTTACCAACTTCTCTGCTCCATCTTCTGCTGTTTGGGGCAAAAGATACTATTTAGTGAATGGCAGAACTTCAAGGAAATGAGACAAGGAAGGAAATTCCATCAGTATCTCAAAATACTACCCCACCACATATTTATCTCTCTTAATTCTCCTAAGACATATCTTATGACCTCATAAGCAAGCATTATAATTTTCAATTTAGAGATGTTGCTATTGAGTTACATTGCTGCTGGCTAACATTCTTGAACCCATCTCTCATCTCCGTCTTTATTGCCTCTTTGAATAGAGATCCTCTGAGTCGGTGTTAGCAAAGTACTATCCTCTGTGGCTATGCTGGCAATGGAGACTTGAGGTCTAAAATGAAGATGAATATAATAAACATTTTCTGATTAAATAATTAATAAAGACAAGAATGGAAAAACTCAAAAGCCCAGAAAGACTTAACGTATTTTAAACCATAATACCAAATATCAAACACAGTAGAAGTATGATTCAAAAAGATGAGCACATTTAATATGGACATCTTACTATCAAATATATATAAGTAAGAACCTCAGCCCCTATCCTTGGAAACAGACTAAACCATATCAATTATTTGATAAAGTAAGCATGCTTTTTCTCCCACTTTTGTAAGTTCACTGAGTTGTGTTTGCTTGAATGTCAGATTCATAATCTGTTTTAGAATATTAATTCATTTTAATTAAGTACCTGTCTGACTTATGTTTGAATGGTTCCTCATATCCAAACTTACATAATTACATTTAATGCTATACATAATTAACCAATGACAATAGTAGTGGTCACAGATATACTACTCAAGATGGTCTGTATTGGGAGATGTATTAGGAGAAATCAATTATAAAATATACAGTTTAACAGAAATGTAGATTCTATGTGCAAAGTGTGAAGATTTGAGTGAAAAAATATAATTATGTTATTTTCAAGTTTTCAAATGTGTGAAAACATGATTTTTATTTTTCTGAAAAAATACAAACATTTAAAAAAAAATATATATATATATATTCAAAATCTGACCCCTCCAGGGATTTTATAAAGATGTCCAAGAGGCCCATAGAGATGAAAGTTTCAAAGTTGCTTTGGTGAGTGAAAAAAACATTGAAAATGTCGAATTTACTTCTTCTAAATGCTAGCCCTACTCCTTCAATATTACTTTAAAGTCTTTAAGTTCAACTTCCCTACTGAGAGAGAGCTGATCTTCAGAGTTCAAACTGTTTGATGTGATTTTCCCTGCAAAATAATTCTAGATCTGTTGTCTCAGAGGAAACCAGTTGCTCTGGATAATGGTGGATATGAGCCCGAGGGAACTCTTGTCCTAAAGTTGTGTGGGCAAAGGAACTACGCACAGTCAGTGCCTCAGAACAGAGCATTTATCCAAAAAGACCGACCTGGGGTTGGTTCCTCTGCTCACACTTGTGCTTTTTTACCACCGTGTTCTAGCTTCCATGTTCTGTCTTCTTTTGTCCTTTTCTGTAGTTTTATAATTAAAGATAATTTTGAAACTGCCTCCCAACAGCTTTTTCGCAGGCACAACTATCTAAAACAGCTGTGGTGGCTTTTTTTTTTTTTCTCCTCATAATTTATGCAGTCAATCTTTAATCATACTTGAGCTGATATATCACCCCTCATTTATTTGTTCTCTCTCAGGCTAATGCCGTTCATTCTGTGGACCTTTTCCTGGGCCAGTAGAAGTCAGTTGATGGAGGAAATGGCTTATTTCTGCATTTTAATTAATTTCTCAAAGTATAATGAGTAGTTTGAAAATTTTCAGGTCTATGAAATTTTGACTGTGAAACTCTTGAAAGTTCACAATATTAATGATTTTCATTAAACCTCTCTCTTCTTTGCAAGACTCTTTATTGAGGGATAGTTACATGCTAAGTTGGTACAAGTGTATTTATTAAAACTCCATCATTAATTTTGAAAATTTATAAAACATTTAAACAAGTTTATCACGGCCTACTTTTCCTGTGCATTGTGAAAGGAAATAGCATAAGAAACTCTTATTAAATCATTAAACAAATGAGAATAAATAATTGATGCTAGCAAATGAAGAGTTTCATAAAGAGCCAAAAAATAGATAAGGCAATAAAAAATGATTCTAAAACTCATTTTGGTTTTTTTTGAAATGGCAGGGATTTTTATTTATGCCTACCTGTTCTACCTGTTCATTTGTTTTGGTTACTAATGTTATTATCTTTTAGTCCGTCATAATTTTTCTTTTTACTATGAAGGAGTCTTTTGTTTCGCTCTTAGGCTCGAATCACCCACCAGGTCCTTGATCATGGAAGCTCCACGAGGGGTGCAGGTGAGCGCTGCTGCAGGAGACTTCAAGGCTACCTGCAGGAAGGAGCTGCATTTGCAGTCTACAGAAGGGGAGGTGAGTCCCCAGGGGCAGAGACCAGCCCTTTACTGCTGAGGGGTGCTTCTCAGAGTATATGCATATTACTCTGGGTGACTGATTCATGAGAGCTTAAACGATGGAACTATAATACTTCCTGAACACAAAATTTGGTAAATCTGGTATTATTTTCTTAAAACAAGGCACCATTTGTTTTCTATGGAAAGATAACCATTCATGAGTCAATTATAAGTGGGCCATCTAAATTCCTGTAGTTTCAGAATTGGCAGATAAACATAATGAATATCAAGAGAATGAAGGCAGTCTTTGTTTTTCTTTTTTCTATTCTTTCTTTTCTTTTTTTTTTTTTTTTTTTTTTTTTTTTTTTTTTTTTTTTTTTTTTGGTCTTCCCAAAGTACTTTGGGTGTTTATTTCTGTAAAAATGGTTCCTGTATTTCTTCTGAAAGATAAATGAAACAAAAGCTATTTTACTATTTAGCCCAATTGTTATTCCCTAGATAAGGAGATAAATACATGCTAACATTTTTCTCCCATGTTACTTTATTTCCTCCAAGAATCTCCCGTCAGTCTGTTGTCATTCTCTTGAAGATCATTCCCTTTCCCTCACTGTCTGCTGTAAAGAACCCTTCGTCTTCCATCTGCCAGTCTGGCACTGGAATGCCGTAGACACACATTCATTTCATGTACCTTGTTATATACATTGTGATTGTTTGCCAGCAGAATGACATTTTTTGTCAGTTCTGGAAATTTCTCTACGTTGGGTCTTCTCCTATTACCGCTCCCCCTTTCCTCTATGGCCCTTTTTGAAACTCTGAAGAAACACATAGCGTTTCTTTCATTCCCTTACCCTCCAGGTATCTTAACTTCTCCTTCCAAGTTTCTATTTCTCTGTCTCCCTGTGCCTTACTCTGTTGTTATTCAGATCTACATGCCCAGGTTCCTTTTCAGTATCTAATCATGTATTTAAATGCCTCTATTGAGCTTTTAATAATTAGGGGTGCCTGAGTCTCTGAGTCAGTTAAAGCCTCTGCCTTTGGCTCTGGTCATGGTCCCAGGGTCCTGGGATCGAGCCCCATGTTGGGCTCCCTGTTCAGCAAGGAGTCTCCTTGTCCCTCTCCCTCTGCCCACAACCCCACCCTCACTCATGCTCTCTCTCTCTTATCAAATACATAAAATCTCCAAAAACTAAAATAATTTTAATAGTTATGTTGTTCATTTTTAGGGTTCTCATTTGTAATTTTTTTAAATCTGCCTGGACATCTTGGTGGTCGCTCTTTTGCTTGCTTCTTTTTAATTCTATTTTAATTATTTCAAATCTTTATACAGAGTATATATTGTGTATTTTTTTTGCTACAATTCCCAAAGTACTTTAAAGACTAAATCTGTTGTATTGCTGTTTCTACCAATTAAGTCCCTTAGTATTTTCTTCCTTCTCATGCTTATTTTATTATAAGCTTATAAAGGTCAAGTTGAGAAGAAAAGGAATGGGAGAATAACTTGAGAAATATGCTCTGGAGCATTTTATATGTCTTCAGATATAAAGACGAGGGCAGAAATCAATAGAATCGAAGGAGGACATTCCTTTCTTACCTTTATACCATTATTTCAGTTGTTGATTCAAGATGAATTTTACTTGTATATTTTACTTCCTTTTTTATAAACAAACTTACTGACAGGACCGTATTAGCATCTTAGTGGATATTACAACTTAAATGACCTAGAAATACACTTCATAATATTTTAAAAGTATGTCCGTATTACCTTTCAATCTTTCTTTCTGCTGCAATTACAGAATACAATATTTTCTCTACCACAGCAAGATGGAAATCTTTCTTAAATATCTTGCATCCTTTTTAAGGAGTTGCTTTTATCATGCTAATCATTTCATTCTAATTATTCATAATGAATCATCCCATAATAAATATTGGTGGTTATTAATCTCTATTCTGTTCCTATTTATGCACCACTTTAGTTACAATCTTTTATTCAGTGTATCAGCAGAATGAATCCTTGGATTCAATTACAGGTTAGCATTTAATTGTGAATTGAATATTATGCTATAAATAAATCATAGCCTGAGATTTTCAGCTGTGGCCATTTTTTTTATATTAATAACATAAAGACACAGAAAAGCACAGCACTTTATATCAGAATAAAATAACATGTAATTTTCCTAGGAAAAAGTGTGAAGTGATATGAAATCTTTCTCTTTGCTTCACTGACTATGCTACAGAAAAGCCAGACTGATCATTTACTAAACAAAATAGAAAGATGTAAAGTACCTCCCTTAGGCTGTTTTTAAAGTAGTTAGGATCAGAACAAACATGGTTTTGAGGTAACAAAGTAACAAACAAAATGCCAAAGAATGAAATTGCACGCTTAGTCATTTCAGACATAGTGTAGCAAGGAATTTCAAACTCAGCTCTGAAAGTAACCCAAATCATAATATAGGTGGAACACTTTGAAAAAAGAAAAGTGTTACAACAGCACATGAGAGGAGGCAATAATGCAATAACATACATGTTACAAGATCACAGAGAAAGAGGAAAACAATTTTTTATTTTGCAGATCAACTGAGATTGGCTCTCACAGTGAAAGGCCTGATTTCAAAGGGTGAGAAAGGGATAAGTGAATTCTTGGTGCAGAGAGGACCGTGGGCCATGACTTAAACGCTCTGGCGTGAGAATCAGAGTTCCAGGAAGAGTTTCAGAACAAATGGATTCTATGGTTATAGGGCAATATAGAATAGAATTATCACTCTTAGAATTGGGAACTTGAATAGTATCACAGTAACTGTCTTAGCAGAACAGAAAGTGATATGAGCAAGCCTGTCAGTTACCAGACTCAGGTCCTTAGACCCAGCAGTGGTAGAGACGAGACTAGACCCCAAATGTAGAAGCACAGGCAAGGCTTTCTTGGGGTTCATGCCCCAGCACCAGGAGTGAGTGGGTGAGAAGCATGAAGGAAAGAACCCTCAGGCCTGCTCTCCAAGGAGAGGTCAGGTGGAATATTTTTTAAAGGAACTTCAGTGAGAAAAGAGTGCCCTGTAGGCAGGGAGAGATGGGGGTTCATTAGCACCTGAGTACTCACAGGCCCTGCTGCTTGGCTAACTCTCCACCCCGGGCATGGTTTTCAGTATTCTAATGAGAGAAAAAGTCCGTGAAGGTCCAGTGCTGGGGTCCGTCCTGGTGCAGACTGGGCTTGCTCCTTAGCTGGTGCTCTGCTCTGCAAGGAAAGTGCTCACAGTCACTGAGAATTCTGAGAGAGGAGTGATGAGAGCCAGCACTCAGCAAGGAGTTGTCCAGGTGCACAGGGGCTTGTTCCCAAGGTCCCTGACTGTCTCATTTCCCCCCTGAGAAGTTTCATCCTCCTTAATCTTAAAGAGAAGGGGCTACAGTTCTCATCTTCTGAAACTGCTTCCTGCTGAGTGGGGGCTCTGTCCCTCTCCTCCCCTGGAGGTAGGAAAATCTCACGCTCACTGTTCCATGCACTCAGAGGGCCTCGGGTCTTCCTGTAGTGGTAGAGGTTGGAATCCTACTGCCACCATTAGCTTGACTTGGAATTTTTGGAACTTGGAAGACACAAACTTATACTAACAGGTTAACAGATGGGGACCAAAAATAATAGCCACCAATCATCCCAGTAAAGGGAAAAAAAAAAAACAGAAACAAACAAACAGCAACAACAACAAAACCAAGAGGGATTGGGGAGGGCACTTTTGATTGTTGACCAGATATAGTTAGGATCTGTCCCTTGGTTGTACTAGTGCAGACAGGATGGGTTTTGTTAATAACAGCATAGGCTCTTCCGTGTTCAGCAAGCAGTCAGGTAGTTAATAAGAGGTATTTCTGTGAAAACAAAAGGAAACACAGGCTGATGGTTCGAGCAAATTATAAACCCAGTGTCTGAGTCCGGACTGTTGCCAGGGAGAAGATTTCTAGATGTCAAGCCTCAGAGGACCCTTAGAGCAGGGGCAGGCCACAGCGATCCGACGGATTTCTCTGATTTATAGTTCAAATTCTCCCATGATCTTCTGAGGGGCCCCTAGAGCAACAGACATGAGAATTGTCTGTACATGAGCTACCATGACAATTCCTCTAGAATTTACTTCAAGTTTTCTAACTCTGGTCTTATCTGCAGAGCTTCAGGAAAAAGGACCGTTTTACTCCTTCATGAGCCCAAGACAAGAAAATGCAAGAAGACTGAAAGCCCTAGTTTGGAGAGACTTAACCAGATATTTGAGGAAACCAGAAGAATTCTGGATCCAGCCCAGTCATATAGGCAAATGACAAACACTTAAAAGATAATTAATCAGAACTAGAATCTAACGTGCACAAAGGGCATGTTATTGAAACACAATTTTCTCTCTAAAATCACCCTCATTTTCATCAAACATAGCCAGATGAAGACAAATTTATTTGTAAAATAAGTCTAATTTTAACAAACTTCACCTAATTATTTATGTAAATACAACAAGAATAGTGATTGACCATGTAAGTTCTCTTAAATCTGCATTGCTGGGACTTTTGTAAGGGATTTTAGGTTGAACTTTTTTAATAGCCTCTCGAGGCCAGAAGCCAAGCCAGATACTTGTCATTAGATTTGCCTGCAATACCTGTAGATTTGGGTGACTTTTTCTTAATTTTTCCAACAGATCCTTAGGTTCCTGCACCCCAAGAAGTGACCCCCTTTACTCAACTGGGAACTCTATAAGCAAGGAACCAGGCCAACAATTCAGAGGGGCTCTTTCAGTTCCATAAAGTCAAACTTAGTTCCTTGAAGTTATCTGGTCATGTCTGAGTCTATGCATGACTCTCTCAAATATGACATTCTGGCCTAAGCCTTGGTAATATAACCAATGTTTCCAATGGTGTCCTGTTACAAGGAGAACAGATTCTTACTGAACTTATATAAACAATTACAATTGCCATGAAAGAATGCTCACTGCAAGTTTCTGAATTCTGAAGGGTTCAGGAGGGGAGAAAACAAATGCCTCAAATTGTTCAGAAAGTAATATT